CATTGAAAAATAATAATAATAAATGTATATTTTTTATAATATAAGTCTGATTCACAAGCGATATTGCAATCCAAGCATTTTTAAAATTACTTAAATTGGTAAACGGTGGTTTTAGTAATGTTCATAGAGTTACTAGTATTTTACCACGTTTTTATTAATTACTTTCTTGTTTATTTGATAGAATAAGGATGACAAACGAGCACACAGTTCACCAAATGGTAAGTGCATGCTATGGCCCATAGACATCAACATTAATCCTCGATTAAGAATCAAAACGCAGATGCGTTGTCACCTCTGAGGACTAAGATGGAATGCTTCCTTTCCAGTAAAAAAGGGTCTCCGGATCTTTATACTCACCATACAAAATACAGCAGTATTAAGCTGCTATTTTACGCTCGTATTCTGTGAGGGTGTGGTTCTTCCCTGGTGGAGCCGACCCATTCGTGCTACAACCGTAATATAGCTGCGGCGTGGCTCTACCACGTATTGTTTGTGTGTCTGTCTTTGTTTGTTGATAATGCAAGAATATGATTAAAAACGTGGTAACTATTTTTAAAAAACCAATACATTTTTTTAATTCACTTGGTTAAATATTGTTGTCGAAGCTTACTTAGAATGGTTAACATGGTATTATTGTTTATACACTTAGGTACTAGTATTTAAAAAAAAAATAGATCTTGCAATCCACCCCTGAGATAATGTTGTTAAAGACACCTGCAGTGAAATCCAAAAATGACGGCTGATGTCGTGATGTCATCCCATAGGGTTAGTCAAGCTAGCTACCTAGATTCGTTTAAGTCAACAGAAAACTATACAATTAATGGGAATGTCATACGTATGTCAAATTAGTCACATAACTCTTGTGACTTAACTTTGAATAAAGATGTTAAAATGTTATATATAATCTCACCCAGTTCCCTCAGTTACACGCACTATTCTCGTCATCACTAATCCCAACACTACTACTTCCAACACCTGTGTGTGTGTGTGTATGTGTGTGTGTGTGTATGTGTGTCTTCCAGCTTTCCTAGTAAAGTAGTAAATGTAATGTATTTTTACAGAGTTATGCCGGATTCTATTAATTATCTTAACTTTGGTTTCATTTTATATAGTTTTCTTTTAGCGATGATAGTTCCACAAATTAAATTGGCTTACCTTACTTTAGTCAAAGGCGATGCTTCTTGGGCCGGATTGTCATATTTTTTAATTGAAAATACTAGCAACACAAATATTCCCATTAACTAATCCAGATAAGCTTGAAATTATTGTGTTAGGACTGGTTCACGACGGTAGTCGAAGGGCGGGTTTGAACCCGCCCTCCCCTCGAGTTTTCGATTTAGTGGTTTGACCTATTCCATTAGTTTCTCTGCGTGATAAACTCAGAAATGAGGACAACGCAGTAAAACCAGAGTGACCGATATAGCCCAACGAATTAGTAAGCTGAAGTGGCAATGGGCCGGCCATATAGCTCGAAGAACCGATAACCGATGGGGAAGAAAGGTTCTCGAGTGGCAGCCTCGTACCGGTAGGCGTAGTGTAGGGCGACCCCCCACTAGATGGAGTGACGACCTGGTAAGACATGCAGGAAGTCGATGGATGCAGGTGGCTCAGGACCGTACTTTGTGGCATTGCTTGGGGGAGGCCTATGTTCAGCAGTGGACTTGTGAAGGGCTGTAATGATGATGATGATGATTAGCTTACTATAGTATCTTCATATTGTCATATGAGACCAAGATTAACGTTTTTCTTTCACATTAAATATGTACATGTGTACTTAAATTGTATTTATAAATACAATTAACAAGTTTAAAAAGTTAAAAGTTACAAAGTACAAATAAATATTATTTAATTGTACATATCGTTCGTGTCGTTAGAGGCGAAGGAGGAAAATTGAAATGACAGAGGATGAGCAAAAACATCTCCCTAATATCAACTCAAAGTAATTAAAAAAAACTTTATTTAATCTATAAAGGAGGCCTATGAAACAATTTTATTAAATTAAATACAGATTATAATAATACTTATTGAAAGTCACTCTTAGGTTTAATTTACCACTGACTCAAAAAAAAACCTAAGTCCTGTGGAAGAAACAGCAAGAATTTCAGCGGGACTTTTTTTGATAGAATAACAGTTTAAAATCATATAATATGTTACATAATTAACAACACAAAACCTTACTCCCAGGGCTTATTACCATCCCCCCCGAACGGGTTCCCGCCTTGTCGTGGCGGGGGGGGGGGGAGAAGCCGTGGCTTGGTCACCCACGGCGAAACAAAGAGGAACCCATATGGCTGGTCCGAGGTGGAGGGCCGGCCCGAGGTGGCCACTCCGAGTGGGCTTGGGAAGCCCACTTCGGATGTGTGTTGGTGGACTGCGGTGAGAGGTGTGTCCTCCCCACCTACCGCTGCAGCCGAGGTGGAGTCGCGGAGGAAGAGGAGTGTTGGTATGGCGATGCGCCACTCGCCCTATCCTCCGCGACTCAAACGGGGCCGCACCGTTGATGCGGTGGTGATGGGGCTGCGGGGGGAGAGGATTGTCGGTATTGCGAGGCGCCGCTCTCCCTATCCTCCGCAGCCGAATCTTGGTTGGCGGCGGAGCCATAGACCAGATCCGCCGCTGGGGTCGGGAAGGCTAGTACTTCTAAGTGCTCGTTTTTCCTGGCCCCATGGCCTTTGCACATCGGACGCGGGGGGCGTCTGTTGCGCAGATGTAATTGGAGGCCGTGGAGGAAGGCGTGCCATGTGTTCTGGTGCGCCTTACTTAGAAAGGAGAACGGGGAGGAATATTCCTCTCCCGATGAGGTGCTGCCATGGGGCGGCAGTCGCTGGTGGGGCCGCGGATGTGTGCGAAAGCGTTCCCGTAGCCCTGCCAATATGCGACGAAGGTGGAACACCATGGGGTTTTAGTCGGTGCGAGTCCGACATAACCCGTCCTTGCCCCCGCGAGGCGGGTATGCGTAGGCATTTCCCCATGTAAAAAAAAAGGGCTTATTACCATCATCCTTAATTTTATTATAATACTTTTTTATTCAAACTTGTTTAATGAAGTTTTCAAACATTGAGTTAGAGAGCAAGATTGTAAGTATAATAATGTCCTCCATACCGAATTTCGGCCACGACGGACGGCCTCAACGGAGACTAGCCATCGGCGCAGGACAGGATTATAACGCCCAAGTGTCGCCCAACAGGTGCACTCTCTATTCCGTCACTCTCATAATCCGATGGGACGATAAACCGACACGACCGGAGAGAGATCAGGTGTAGGACCAACAGCTTTACATGCTTTCCGAGGCACGGGGGTGAGACACTGCCAACTTCATGACTCAGTAGCTGACTGAGAATTTTTTGACGAAAAAACTCAATAATTTATTTATTTCCGACCCGGGATTCGAACCCAGAACCTCAAAATCAGTAGTCTCATCACTACAACTACTAGACCAACGAGGCAGTCATTAGGCAGAGTTTAACAGTAGACTTTTTTGGCTGTTGTGAATATATGTATGTATCTGCTATACTAATAAAATCGATTTTCATCACATTTGAAACTGTAAATACAATCGACAAGAGTAATAATTATAAAAACTATATATTTAATAAAGAACTTGCTTGATCTAGGGTCACCACATCACTATTTAACTTACTTATTATGAGGAAGATGTTGCAATGGAAGTTAATTTTTACCGATGATCTTACGAACCTTAACCTTTGAATATAGCTTGTAAAATCAAAACGATTTCGTCATATTTATTACATAATTCACTATATTTGAATTCATTTATGTATTTTTTATACGTAGCTTGTAAAAACGACAAGTCACAGATTCTGAAATAAGGAGAAGGACTTAAGATACCGATATAGGTTTAATGTAAAAATGCTATTGAGTTGCTAACTTAAATGGGATGGGCAGATTACATATGCTATGGTGGAATCAATTTTTTGTTAGATTTGTGGCCACGCACGGGCCATGGATCTAAAGGTGTAAGAATATCCTCTGCCCCATATCGTCGTATGGGTGTCGTAAGAGGCGACAGACGGAAACCGAAACAGGTGATGAATGGAAGCATCTTCCTGATAACAACTCTGAATTTTAAAAAACTGTGATTGACAACTCGCTCGCCAAGCATGTCCCCCCATCGAGGCAATCTATGACACAGCCATCTTCATAGATCCTCAGCAGGATACTGATGATTTCTTAAGGCATATATTTTATAAAATCTGGGTAGGCACTACCGTAAATATTTTGTCCCCAAGCAGCAGTGCGGCCAATCACTCCTGTATTACGGTTAGAAGGGTAAGAGGGGTAGAGTAATTACGGATGATAAAGTATTTCACCGTAAACCTCAGGGATCCTCAGCGATAAAAAAGTCGCCTTTTTATTTCTCCAGCTTGTCCACAGCCTATAAAAGTCCACTGATGAACATAGGCCTCCTTTATGGAATACAGGGCAAGATCCAAGGAAAACGAAGTGTGGGTCGAAGAAGAGCGTCTTGGATGAAAAACCCACACCAATGGTTTGGAAAGAGCACCCCTTCCATATTCAGAGCCGCGGCATCAAAGATCCTAGTTGTCTTAACGATCGCCGACCTTCGTAAGAAGATGGCACTTTAAGAAGAAGAAATGGAATACCTCACATATCTCACATGTGAGGCCATTCTCACGCTTGGCAGACGGGTTAACAAATACACCTTTCTACTGATTAAGTTGTTACTAGGAAGATGCTGCTTCCCATCTCATGTTTTCCCTCTGTCGCCTCTCAGAATATCCCCGGGATGATACGGTGTAGTGGATATTTTAACGACGCTACTATACGGCACTAAATAAATAAATAATCAAAATTTACTTATGTATCTTTCGGTCGTTTATGAAAAAATATTCAAAAAAGTTTAGTACCAAATAAAAAAAATTGTTATAAATTGATTTTATTTCAAAAAAATTGACAAAGCATTTGAATTACTCTACTTTTATACATTACATCCTTAATTAATTTAAAAAAAAAATTACTCAGATATGTTTTAAGATATCACGATGAGGTTGATCACAGATTCTAGGTATTCTCTGCGGTCCACGTAGTTTGCTCATCAGCTCAAATACAGGCTTCAATTCATCTTGGGTCACACCCTAAAATAATAAATTTTAATTATTGATTGATTTCAAAAATTTCTTGTGATGTAAGATAATTCATCACCTCATTTCGTTCTGTGGATGTCCTTAGAGGCAACTACGGGTAATGTCAGAAAGACCGATGATTGTTACGAAAAAAGGGATTAGGTGATGATTATCTGTGATTGTCCGTTGATGTGGTTTAGCCATGCTGCAACTATATTGCTGGTATAGTTGTAGCACAAATGGGTCGGCTCGACCGGGGAAAGACAACGCTCTCACAGATTACCAGCGTAAATTAGCAGTTTAACGATGCTGTGTTTCGTATGGTGAGTGTAAAGAACCGCATACCATTTTTACTGGACACCATCTCCTCACTAAACGCATCTGCATTTTGATTCGTAATCGAGGATACATGTAGATGTCTATGGGCCACAGCAGCCACCCACCATCAGGTGGACTGTGTGCTCGTTTGTCACCCTTATTCTATAAAAAAGTTGTCCGCCCTTTGTATCATTTTTTTTCTAAGGGGACGCAAAGTTTTTAAGATAAAAATAAATAAACATTTACGATAACAGCAAGAAGGGACCCTTCTCGCGGTATTAATTTAATGGGTTGTGTTCATTGTTAATTTCATGTAGGTATGTTTATAATCATGGGATATAAGGCCTGAACGTGAAATTGTATTAAAAATAATAACAGTGGTCAGTGGTGTTGGCATTTATTTTATTTTAGTGCACAACAAAACCGACCACCATGGATAGGTAAGCGATCACCATCACCCATTTATGTCTTACAATTCTGAGGGCTTTGATTGAATGTACCAGTAACTCGGTCTCCGATTCTCGTCAATGTCATGTATTAACATTAACACGGATGGGGCGTATCCCTTTACACTATATATGTATTTCTCCTTATAATCCCGTGCTTAGGAGGTTCTAAGCAACTAAGTAACTAACGGCTATCAGACATCCCATCCGTATACTGAATGAGTAGCAGCCTGCGTCGGAGACCTGGCATCCTGTTGCATCAGTTGTAAGAGCTGAAAAAGCCTCCTGGATTACAGCACAAACATCAGCGAAAGAAGACTTTGGTCACTCAGTGAGATGGCCCAAACACGTCAAAGAAAAACGCTCGTCTTTTACGTGGCTTACACGAACCAAGTGCTAGATGGTTTACAAGCAACATATTACCTCACGTTGTCTGTAAATGACTACGGAAATCATTTTTCCCCAAAGCATTTGCAATAAAAACGGTCCATTTTTATCGTTTGTCTCTACCAAATGAAGCTGCATCATGTCGTCATGGGTGATGGCTTTGCCTGAAAAATTTGCAATTGTTTTTGTTATTATTACTTCATCTTACGTGATAGAGCCACGCTGCAGTTATATTAGTTGTAGCACCAATGTCGATTGACACGCTCTCGTAGAATACTTGCGTAAAATATCAGCGACCAGGATGTACACAACCGGAGACCCATTTTTACTACAAACGAGGAAATTCATCTTAGCCCTCACGGGTGCCGACGCATCTTCGGATCTGAGGATAAATGTAGATATCTATGGGTCACAGCTTCCACTTACCATTAGGTAGACTGTATGCTCGTTTGTCAACCCTTATTTTATAAAAAAATTAGTCGTATTAGTATACTATTTGTATGATATTAGTTGTATTATGTATGGAAAGCGCCAAAGCAGCCCAGGGTGCTTCCCAACTAACGTTAAAGGCTCATGTCGGACGTCACATTTTATCAGAATACTGTTAATGATGCCGTGTAATGGTGATGTAAGAGAACCTACTGCATCATATAATTCCCTGGATGTCATAAGAGGCAATCGAGGGAAATAAAATAGGAGATGGGCAGCAGCATTTTCTTGATCACAGCTAATAATAAAATACGAGTACGGCGGCTGCTCACCCGCCTCCCAAGCGTGGGAACTATGACAAATATCAATATGAGGTAATCTATGGTTTGGGGAAACCTGTTCAGTTGTGAACTTTTGATGGGCTGTAACTCAGGGTTGTAATATACGAATATATACATGATAATGAGTTATATTAGATCCCTCTAATGTATGGTTATTTTGCAACCACAGGCCAAATTTGCAGAGATGGTTCACAATAAATAATATAAGCAAACGGTGAAGAAAAAATAATTAAAAAAATCTCAAACATTCTGTCCTTTTAATCTTTTAAATTCAATACGCTTTCGTATGCTGAATCCAGGCTTCTTCTAATTTCTGAGAGGGTTTTATAGGGCAAGGAAGAGTTCACCGCGCTACCTCAATGCGTATTGGTAAACTTCACATCATTCTCTAAACCATTTCCCATTATCTGGGGTCGGCGCAGTAAATCTTGTTGTTCCATTCCTCTCTATCAGCCGTCATTTCCATACTTACTCCTTTCATTCTCATACTTCACACAATCGATCCATCTTTTATTCGGCCTTCCTCTGCCCGTGTGTCCCTCCACATTCATATTCAACACTCGTTTTGTGACATGACTTTCATCCCTCCGCATCACATGCCCAAACCATGCCAATCTGCTTCCTCTCACCTTTTCTACCACTGGCGCTACTTTCAGGCTTCCTCTTATATACTCATTCCTTATCTTATCCATCCTTGTCACACCACACATCCATCGTAACATTCTCATTTCATTCGCATGCAATCTATTTTCATCCTTCTTCTTGACGGCCCAGCATTCACTTCCATACATGACGACAGGTCGGATGATCGATTTGTAAATTTTCCCCTTCAGCCTTATTGGCATTCGGGGATCACACGTTGTGGCTCTGACCTATCGCCATTTCATCCACCCTGCGTTAATCCTATGCTGCACAGCTCTATCTATTTCGCCGTCGCCTTGAATGAGGGAACCGAGGTACTTGAAATCTGAGCAGGTAGGCAGTATAGCGCCATCCAACGACATGGGTACAGGACTGGAAAGACCGCCGAAATCACAGCACAGATATTCGGTTTTGGATCTGCTGATCTTCAAGCCAACACTTTCCAGCCTCTGTTGCCACCCCGTCAGTCTGCTCTGTACCTCGATGCCCTCTTCCCCGACAAGCACGATGTCATCGGCAAAGAGCATGCACCAGGGTGCCTCATCCTGCAGGTCCGACGTCAAAGCGTCCATAATCAGTAGGAAGAGGTAAGGGCTCAATGCCGACCCTTGGTGCAGCCCTACAGCCACATCGATACTGCCCGTAGTTCCCGCGGTAGATTGTACAAATCTACGAGGTGCTCTGTACATAGCACGGACTAACCTCACATACTTCCCAGGCATACCTTTCATCTTTAACGCCCACCACAAAACCTCACGGGGAACCCGATCGTACGCCTTTTCAAGGTCGACAAAAACCATGTGCAGATTTTTATGCACGCGCTTGTACTTTTCGCACAATTGGCGTAATGCGAAAATGGCATCTGTCGTACCTCGACCGGGCATGAATCCGAACTGGTTTTGTGTTATCTCACACTCTTCTCTCATTCTTCTCTCTATTATTCTTTCCCAGACTTTCATCGTATGTGACATGAGTTTTATTCCCCGGTAACTGCTGCAGTTTTGAACGTCTCCTTTGTTTTTAAAAATGGGGACCAGTATACTACTGCACCATTCCTCAGGTATTTGTTCTTCCTGCAACAATTTACCGAAGAATAAACTCAACCACTTCCATCCATCCGCACTCAGCAACTTCCACACTTCTACTGGTATTCCATCTGGGCCGACCGCCTTCCCATTCTTCATATTCTTAACAGCCATTTTTACTTCTTCCACACTAATTTCTCTCACTAAGCCCATATTCACTGGTGGATTTGCAAGCATACCATTCCATTCATTCTCCTCATTCATCAATTTCTCAAAATACTCCTTCCATCGCTTCCTATTGGTAAACTTCACATGTCTTCGAAATAATTTTTTTTCTTATTTCTCAGACGTGCAGGTTTCCTAAAGATATTTTTCTTCACCGTCCAGAACGTAGTGAATCAGCACTTAAAATTGCCAACAAAAATTTCATTGTTGTAGGCGAGGATCGCACTCACAACCTTTATCTGAATTTTGCAACACTTACTCAGATCACTTTTATCCGCATCCAAAGACATAACCTGCTGAAAGCATCCATTGACTCCTTCGATTGATCTAGACCAAACATCAAACGGACGTTCAGAATGATACCTCTGTCGTATGATAGTCCCCTTTATATCACTAATCTTATCTGTTTTCGATGCGTTTTCCGAGGTGTTGTTTACCAGCCATCTTAATCCAGCCTGTGAAAATAATATTGACGAGTGAATTTTTTATAGAATAAGGGTGACAAGCGCATTGTACACCTGATGGTAAAAGATTGCAGTGGCCCATAGAAATTTCAATCTGTCCTTGACTGAGAATCAAAATGCAGAATGTGTTGTCACCCCTGAGAACTGAGATGGTATCAAGACTGAGGATAATGATTGATCGCAAAACACATTCAGATACATATTATATTTGGAATAAAATGTATTGTTATACGCTAGTAATATATAAGACAATGATTGTTAATGTAATAATACATTAAATACACCTAAAACTCAACTTTATTTAACTCTATCTATAATTCTGGTAACATTCCTCAATACTGGGTCAAATCTACTTTCATAACTCTTCCGAAAAAACGAAACGCCAAAACGTGCTCAGATTACCGCACTACAAGGAGATTATCAATCTAACTACGTACAAGACTCATGCAATGCTATATTTGGCCTGTCATACTATACGGATTTGAATCTTGGACTATGAAAGAAGATCTCTGTAAGAAACTGAAAGCATTTGAAATGTGGATGTATCGCCGAATGCTCCGAATAAGTTGGACAGACAAAGTTACCAGCATTGAGGTCCTGAAGCAGATGAAAAGGAATAAACCCCTACTTGTTAAAACCATCGAACAGAGAAAAATTGCGTACCTAGGACACGTGCTAAGGCATGAACGTTACCAACTGCTGCAGACTATTGTGATGGGCAAAGTAGCGGGTAAAAGAGGTATTGGTAGTAGGAAAATGTCGTGGCTACATAACATCCGGAAATGAACTGGAATAAAGAAAGTTGAAGATCTGTTCAGGCTAGCCCTGAACAAAGAAGAATATAGAAGAATGACTGCCGACCTTCAGTAATGGAGAGGCACTTAAAGAAGAATAAGAAAACTCAACTGTCAATTACCGATAAACAATATTTTATATAATAATTTAAAAAAGTATTTCCAATTTTCCTTTTAATTTTTAAACTGTATATAATTATCATATCTATACAATATCATACTATGCCATAGATGTGCATTGCGCAGTGTATGACGTCGTTAAGGCCAGTAAAATTAAGCAGTATTTTAATAATTTTCTGTACAAAACGCTTTAACCAACTAAATAATGTTGCATTTCGACTATATACTAGACATTTAAAAAAATAGCATATTTTCACTAAAAATATATAACAAACCTTACCGTATCAGTTTCACTGAATTCCACTTTATAGCAAATAACTTTTTTCTGATTGTCGGGAAACAGCTTTTCGGGTATAATGGCTACTACATTCCACGGACCGATCACATCTTTAATCGTAAAATTGGCTTGAAAATCATTACATGTTTTGCTTTTATTTTTCGCCTCAGTGTTTGATAAAATAAACAGGTATAGCAGGGTGAAAAAGAGCACCATGTTTCCAGTTTGTAATCTTCCGAAGTCGCTTTAGACGCTGGACTCAAAGTGGACATTAGTGATAATGTTAGGGCATTAATCTTTCTGCACAAGACAAAAGAATATTTAGACATGGCACCAGTAGAAAAATATATGCCATCAAAAACATAACTTGTAAAAAAACCTAGTCTCGCAATGTTCTTCTACCGTAAAAAATTGTGAGACCCATGTCTCACAACTTTTTATAATCCTTAAATAACTTTGTAATCCTATATTATTTATATAGGATTACAAAGTTATTTATGCATTTAATGTATCTAGAAAACTGGACCGAAATTGCATAATATTTTAGTGTTTCCTTAGTTTATACACTAAACACTAATTGTGTTCTAAATTTAAAGCTCCTATGTGTGCTAGAAGTGCCTTAGGGTTTTTTGATCTGTCAGTCAGTCAGTGAGTGATTGACAAATTAAGTAACTTTGACTAGTTATGATTCTTAAAGTACTGGTTAAAATTGAATGAAATTAGAAATATATCGTATTTATATAATGCCTTCAAGGTTACTCAAATTCAGGCTTCTAGTTTTATCCACGAGGTTATATGGGGTGGAAAATAGCCTGAACTGCTTCGAGAAAAGGATGGTACGACCGTGCCGCTTTTTTGCTCGACTTGGCTGGGGCACTGCGGTGCCCCCAGATAATAAATAAGCAAATATCAATTACGGATATTTGTATTTTGTATATATTTGGAACCTTTAAAGCAGTTATTAATAGTAAAATATATTATTGATTTTTAAATAAAAAATATTTTTCTGGTTACACGTTGTGTGTATCGTGGCTGCAGCATGATGGGTGGGCTTGACAGAGGAAGAATCAAGCTTGCACAGAATACCAGCTCAAATAGCAGCATAATACTAAAGTGTTTCGTGAGAGTGTTCATTTCGTGGAGAGTGATGAGAATCGGATACCTTAACACCAATAAAGAAGCATTTCATCTTAGCCTTAAGGCGTGTAAAAGTCGCTGTATTTCCCATTTAATCTCGTTTAATGTATGCTTGTTTGATCCTCAAAGCTATACAAAAATCATGATAGCAATAAATAAGTCATTTTGTTTTTGTTGGGTTTCATTTTTTTTTTGTTCTAAGAACATGATAACGTGATAAACAATAATTTTTATAAAGTATTATAATTTATTTATTTATGTTGTATTTTAGTTGAATTTTGTTCCAATATAATATGATAAAACTATGTAAATTTATAATTAATGCCGAACAAATATATGTCTGTTTCTTTCTTTATTTTCATTTCGTAATGGCTGTCACAAGAGAAACTGAGAAAACTAGAAATACTTTATGATCACTGCTAAATGTTATGTGAGTTAAATTTGCAAAATGCCTTGAAAAACATATGGTGAATTCGATCCCGACAATAGGAAAACCCATGAGAGAAAATACTGTTATATAAAAAAACAGTCATTTTTCGGATATTCTAGCACCTTCTATGTGCGTCTGCGTAATAACGACTGCATTATTAGGTGTGACGGTAGGATGTAGTTTTGTAAATGGGTTAATATCCGACGTCTGCGAACTTGCAATGACCCAGTTAATGTATCAAACAATTGAAAGGCACCGGCGACTGTACCACAACCGGTCATTAACATGATATGCCTTTAAAGTAACTTTTGTATTTATCACCATTGCAAGTGCGTAACTCTGATGATAAGGTTTTCCGGATGGAATGACTCCGTAAATGTGTTCTAATCGTAATCTAAAATAGATATTAAAATAGAAAAGACATTGGTTTATAATCGATACAGGAACATTTAATTATCGTAACTAATAAAAATGTTATGTGAGTTAAAGCAAATGTGATTTTAATGCAATTTTAGGTAAGGACAAATGATGAATAAAATATATCCAGCCCCGGATCTAGGCGGGGGGGGGGGGCAAACCGGGGCACCGGCCCCGGGCGGCCGTTTCAGAGGACCCCAAAATTATAATTTAATATGGATTTAAAAAAACTTGCTCCATAATGTGTTTAGCATCCAACGCACGTTGTTCTATCAAACATTCACTTGATGTTAAAACGCTCAGTTGGTTTTTGAACACATCCCAAGGGTTCATTCCGAAATATGCTGCCAGTAGCAACAGCGCAGTGGATTGTTATCAACATTTAATGGCGGAAAATTTAAATTAAATGATCACGATCCTACTTTCAAATACATTCTAGAGCACGTAAAAAGGAGAGGTATCCTGTGTTCGACACACAGGATACCTCTCCTTTTTACGTGCTCTACGATACAAAATGAAATTATCAGTACAATAGCAAAGAAAGTTCGAAATACCAATATCAATGACATCAAGGAAGCCAACTATTTCACCATCATGTCTGACTGCGCTCCAAATGTATCTCACACGCAACAAGTGAGCCAGGTAATTTAATTAATAAAAATAACGGAATCCAGAAGTGAAATAAAGGAAAGCTTTATTGATTTTATTGAAGTTAATGTAATGACTGGGAAATAAATTACACAACGAATTCTAGAGAAACTAGAACCTGATGGCTTAGATGTGACAAAATGTCGTAGACAATCTTACGACAACGGATCTAATATTGCCGGCATATATAAAGGAGTTCAACAGAGTTTGCAATAAACGAGCATAAAGTTGTACCATTCGGAAACAAAGCGAGCACCAAAGTAGTAATGTTAAAAATTTAAAATAATGCAAAAGTGTACAAAAATAAACTTAAAAGGAAGTAGTCAAACCAGATGGACGGCTAAACACCGGGCTGTTCTTCTTTATTGAATAATTTACCGGAAATTGTCAAAGTCCTAAAAGAAATTGAAGAATCTTTTCTAGTCGCAGTATCCACGTATGAAACTGGTCATTCAATACATGCAGTCATGAACTTTAAACTTATCCTCAAATTAACAATTTGGGGTCATATTCTTAATTAATAGAGTGAACGTTGAACACAAAAAGAGGATATTATCATTTCACATTATGGTGCGATAATGCAAGGTCTTGTTTAGATCTCGTAAGGAAAGAGAGAAAAAACAATAGAAAATTTGTTCAAAGAAGCTGCACCTGTAATAGAAAAGTTAGAAATCGAGCAAGTCCTTAAAATCAGACGAATTTCTAAAAAGAAAAGGAAACACGATGAAATCTGCGAGGATGAATCAAGAACGTTAGATCCAAATGGTTTATTTTCCAAAGATATAAAATTTTAACAGAAATTAAAACAAGGGTAGAGAGCACAAAGAGTCTACTTGAAAATTTCGCCTTTCTTAGTGGCCAGGCGTTTTCAAATAGGTCGACTTAGGATCTACGAGAGAATGGAGTCAATCTAGCTGAAAAATATTCTAACGACTTAGATTCAGTTGATTTTTGCCAGGAACTTGCCGAAGCTTGCAACCGAAATTAAAAAAAAAATCAACTGCATTCGATATGTTACAACATGTGTGTAAACATCACTTTCTGGTAGCGGCTCCTAATGTTAGTATGGCTTTAAGAATATACGGAATATTACCTACGACATTTGCTTTGAGAATTATACTGAATATTACCTACGATATTTGCAAGCTGAGAGCGAAGCTTCAGCAAACTACAAATAATTAAAACCTATCTGCGTTCAACAATTAGTCAGAAACGTCTATCTGGCCTTGCGATCCTAGCTATTGAAAATAAAACTGACCTTGAGACAGAATTTGATGAGCTAATAGATTCTTTTGCAGAAAAGAAAGCACGCCGGGTAAATCTGTAGCAAGATTAGAGAGAAAAAGATGCTGAGAACTTAAGATCCTAAATGTCTTGATTGTTTTGAAAAGGTTATTAGCTAATTGGTAATATAGAGTTCAAATGTATTAACGGCTTCTTACTGTCCCAATCACAAAAAATGCCACCCATTATGTATTTGTAAGTTTTTTAACTAGTTATCTAAAACGCTCGAGAGAGGAGGCGCCACTATCAAGTTTTTGCCCAGGTTCAAAAAAATCGTAGATACGGGGCTGAATATATCGAAGATATGTGAAACCGCTAATAACCTCACAGAAATGAGAGGAGGCTAGTGCACAGTTTTGGGATATATATGAACTGTAACTTAACTTTTTATTTTTCTGGAATTTAACATCGTACAACGTAACTAAACGTGAAACGTTAAAACGAAGACAACCGTGTCTCCCACCAGAGTTAAATAACTAATATTTAGTTAATAGGTTTGATCCCCGTGTCCATCCCAGTTCGTCTTTTAGGCGTCTTCAAACGCGACTATAGGAAATGGGTGAAAGATCTCATCGCTTCCGATAGATGGCGGTATTATCATCTTGTCTTCGTTAAACGTAAAATACACAGATCGGTGACAGAGTGCGGCTTTAAAGGTGTTCATGTCTGGTATTTCGATCTTCAAACCGATTGACAAGCGTGACGATTACGACGTATCCTTCCTGCTGACTCTCCTGACTGCCACGTTGGTCTAATGGGTGTATTACTGCAACTGCTGATCATGAGGTCCTGGGGTCGAATCCCGGGTCGGGCCAAAAATCAATTATTGAGTTTTCCCCGGAGTCAGAAAGTCGGTGGTGTCTCAACTCCGTGCCTCGGAAAGCACGTAAGTACGTTGTTCCAGTGCCTGATCTCTCTCCGGTCGTGCCGGTTTAGCGTCCCATCGGATTATGAGAGTGAGGAAATAGAGAGTGCACCTATGCTTGCACAATATAATCTTGTCCCGCGCCTATAGCTAGTCTTCGTTGAGGCAGGCCGCCGTGACTGAAATTCGGTCTGGAAGACATTATCTTCCCTACAACGGGAAAACCGGGCTAATTATGGAGAAGAAGATTTAGTTCATACAGAGTAACGGCTCCGTGGCGAAGTATGGTAGAAATGATCTGCGGGTTCGAATCATGTCCGGATAAAATATTTGTATGGCCTACAAATAATTTTTCCGGGTCTGGAGGTTTATCCTTGTTCAATTTATGTCAGTAAACTGCCCTCACGATACAGGAGAAATCCCTAGTGTGTAGTA